TCTCTCTCTCTCTCTCTCTCTCTCGTGGTACTTGGGATTGAATTCAGACCCTGTGCTTGCCAGGCAAGCTCCTATTCTGAGGCTGTTGCCCTGACCTTCCCCAGCCTGTACCTGCTGTGGAGCACAGAAGGCAGGCTGTCCAGTGGCTCCCAGGAGATGCTGTAGTTTCCTGAGCTGTGACACAGATGCCTTCATGAACACAGCCGTCTGAAGGGACTTCATGAGACCCCAAGGTTATGAGCTCATGCTGTGAGTGTTGCTGCAGGCAGAAAGGCCTAATCTCTGGTCCTGGCCTCAGGCCTTGTGTCTTCTGCTGGCATCTATGAAATTGTTATTGCTACCTCGTTGGCTTACAGTGGGGACCCCTCACAGTTCCTGACATATGCACCATAGTACATTTAGTACCTTTTGTTTAAAACAAATTAAACCCAGCCATTTAGGCCAGCACCTTTGAGGCCTGGCCCTTTGCCATCCATGCTCCGACACTGTGCCATGTAGGAATGGGACTTCGCCAAAAATGCAGGCGCCGTCCCTGCTCTGTCAAATACTGCTGTGTCCCCATGGTAGGCAGGAGATGACATGAGGTCATAGGACAGTCTGCAGGCACCAGGAGGTGACTGCCTTGGCCCAACCAGGTATAGGCAGTGTCACCAAGGTCTCCAGACCACATGGCAGCAAGGCTAAGCTGGGTTTGACCATGAATCTGTATGTTCGTTGAGCTCTGTTCCTCAATGAACAGAGCAAATGGTTTAAAAACATTCAGAACAAAAATTAGTTTTTGTTTCAATTTGTTACAAGTTTTTTTCTATTCATTATTGCTATGATTTGGATCTAAAATGTCCCTCCAAAGGCTCTACATATTTAAAGGATGGGATTTTAGAAGGTAACTGGATCATAAGGTTCTAAATTCACATGCAGATTAATCTATAGCTTGAGGGCAATACTATAGTGTACTATAGCAGGCAACAAAAGCAGGAGTTTAGGGCCTGGTTGGGGGGCGGAGCCAGGGGCATGGCCTGGGGGTGGTCCTTAGGGGCGGGGCCGTGGCTCAGTGGAACAAGTGCTTCCCTGGGGTGGTCCTTAGGGGCGTGGCCATGGCTCAGTGGAACAAGTGCTTCCCTGGGGTGGT